TTATCTTGAAGATAAGCCTGCAGGCTAAATGTGGATGTAGTGGTGATCTTTTAATATTGTACTTAAGATTTGGAATAACAGAAGAAATATGAAGTTACATTATTGTGAAATTGGCAGGATACATCCTAAACTGTTTCTGCATTGGTTCAATCAATTGGATTAGACTATTTATCAATGAACACTTACTACTGGGTAGACATTCTAACTGAGACTCCAAAATGAAATGACATTCTCTGACATCAGCAAGTTCTGTCTATTGAGAACGGTGAGGCAAAGCTCTATAAGGAACAGACACAGAAGGGATCAAGAGCAGCAGGTGGATATGAGAAGCCACTTTCTAACTCCACATGGGGTTGTGCTCTCCTTCAGGAGAGACAAGCTGATACCTGAAGGGTGAGAGGAAGATGATCAGATTGTTGGCGTTGGCTACAGAACAAGAAAAGCTTAGAGGCTTAAGTGAACCTGGGGGGGTAGAGCACACTTAGAGCAGAATTACTGTGGAAAATGGAAATAAAACCCTGTGAAAAATGAAGCCCAGCAGGCAAAGGAAAGCCAGGCCATCTGAGTGGCAGCTATAGGCAAAGGTATACCTATACGTTCCTCTGCCCGGAAGGCATTCTCGTTGAAGAATTTTGAATAAGAGAATTCCACAAGCCAGTGGGTACATTGTGGGCCCAAGCATATGGGTAACAATGTCGTGACTGTTACTTGTCTGTTTATATGTTACAGAAATGGCGCACATCCCTTTTGGTATTATGACTTTGAAAGGCCTTCCTTGTAATTGAGTTCGGTGATGCCAAAAGCAATATTTTCACTAAATGATACATCAGAATTCTAATAAGGGCCTCTGAGCAGATCTTGGTCAACAGGGTTTTAATAGACCGTGATGCAATCCTTAATGGAGAAGATGTAATTAGAAAAGATACCCTGTCTCTAATGGAAATTCGTCTGGGTGTATGTTTACTGCTCAGTGAATGAAAAGATTTATATAGGCCACGTGGTTGAGATTCTCGGAGAAAAACACACACAATGAAAAGATTTCCATTGCACATTTTCATTAACTCTTTCAGCAGTGGATCTACCAGAAATAAAATTCACTTGAATTTTGCACAATTTCTATAATTTCAGGGGTTAAGCATCTGAAAGGCCAGAATGGATCAGCATTCCCTGAAGAAGAAGAAAGTGCAAGCGAAAGAGAAGATAAGTGGGAGCACTAATTACCCCCCCACACACCCCCGGAAGCAAGAGGACTCCTTGGGGTTAGCTGGACTGAACGCTCTTCTGAATAGCCTATGGTACTCCCAAGCCCCGCCTCCCCCAGGCTCTTCTGCCTCGGCTCCACACCCACAGCAGTTACGATCCCCCAGAAGACTCCTTGACTGAACTGGGAAGCCTAGTGCGGATTGTTGTGTACCGCTCACAGCAAAGAACAGGCACTTATTGTATAACAACTTTTCTTTTAAACTAGCAATACCTGGGAATCTGCTACCGTGTGTGTGTTCTCACTTTGAATTCCTACTGGCCTGCTAATATGATTTACTTTCCAAAGTCAAAGTAGAGAGTTTCACTCAAAGAGTACAGAATAAATATCAAATGCACTTGGAATGAATGTGAGTGGGCTTAATGGAAGAGGAATGTCTGTGGAAGCTGCTGAGTTAATACCTGCCTTTGGCACGCTTCTGTGTATAGATCAGACCCGAGTTTACTTCAAAAGGCAAAGATAGGTAGATGTCAGTTATCTTGATTCAGAACAGCACACCAGATATGAAAGGTTCCTCCTCCCGCAGTGCGTTAATGGTTACATAAAGAAACGAATGTCTCTTCATTCTCTAAGCTGTGCAATGTTGGCTTCTCTGCATCATCTAATCATCGAGAAGGAAATGCTAAATTTCTAATAAAACATGGCCGATCTCTTCTGTGCTCTCCTTTTTAACAATGTGAAGTTAAGCCATCTGTTGTGATTGGGTTTTGTTTGTCTGGGGGGTTTGGTTGTCTCTTTTACTTTCCTTGGTGCTGAGAATGAAGCCAGGGCTTTGTATATGCAAATATTCACCCACTAGGCTATGCCCTCAGTCACATTGCATTTTAATAAATCCTCAGTGTTTTATTATTCCCCTCTGTGACAGAATAAAAAGAAAGTCTCATCAATTCAGCCGTAGACTCGCCCATTAATTTGACAACTGCTTTTTGTGGAGTTTTAACTTTTTTCTGTTACTTTCTGCATTATTGTTACACCATCTCCGCCCCCCCCCTCTCTCTAAGCCCTCCCAGGCACCAGCCCGCCCTCCCTTTCAAATTCCTGGTCCCCTTTTCCTTAGTTGTTGTCACATGATTACCAGCAGCCATTTTAAACTGGATTCTTTCCTAGGGTATTACTCTTTTGGAAGTTATGAAGGTAGAGGAAAACTCATTTCTTCTCTGGAGCTGGAATACTGCGGGCTTTTGGAAGACCGTGGGCATTTGTAAGCGTGGCTTTCACTCAGAGTTTTGGCCTTCGTCCAATTTTAATTATTTATGATATATGAACACACAGTTTAGTGAGGGTAGATAGTTTTGTTTCTACACTGTTGGTTTTAATGAGGTTCAAACGTTTCATGACTGTAAAGACGATTTGAAAGGAGCACTGGTGGCCTAGGGCAGGGGGTACGATCCCCTGCTGCCAGCTGCCAGCCTTGGTGGTAGAGCCCTGAAATCTACGTGGCAGGAGGAGAGAACCAACTGTCTCTCACTTTGTGAGACGTTATTGTCCTTTCACAAATACACACAACTTGGTGTGTAGGATGGATGGGGACACACACACACATGCACCCCAAATAACCATAAAACATTACTAAGGGAAAATTAAGAAAAAGAGAAAATTAAAATGCACAATTTACTAAAAATCTTAAATGCAAATCCAAAGGGATAAAATGATTTTAGTTTGAATATAAATTTTATAATCTAGCAATTAAGAGAGCTATGTGAAAGTATTAATAAATGCAGTGAAAATAACAGTCTCACTCAGTGAGAGGCAGCCCAAGACTGTGAGTTCTATTCTCTTTCCATCCTGTCCTCTGTCCTGTTTCCCTTCCCTTCCCTCCTCTCCTTTTCCCTACTTACCCCTTCCCTCTCCTTTCCTCCTCTTTTCTTCCCTCCCCTCCCCTTCCCTTCCCCCTTCTTTCCTTTCTGCCTCCTCCTTCTCTTCTCTCTATTGTCACTAAATCTATTTTTTCCAGCCCTTTAGAGTTGTTTTTTTTTAACCACCTTCCACGACTATTTGTCTTCCTAAGTTTCTCTCTACTGAAAACATCATTAAGGTTCATATTTCTTGTAAATGCTTTTGAGCTATTTATGTTTCAAAACATCAGTGACACCCGTTGAGAGGGTTTGAGTCTCCTTGCTGTACTAACAGAAACCACCCTTTCCTTTTAGTTGACTAGAGACTTTTATAAAAGCACCACACACACACACACACACACACACACACACACACACACACACAAGCAGGATCCAAAGCTCCAGCTGATTCTGCATCCTCAGCTTTGGAGCCAAGCAGCATGAGGTCTGAATGACTTCCTCTCACTCTCCCTTCTTAGAGCAGGTAAGGCAGTTCTCCTTGGGAATGCTGTCTCCTGTTTTTCTGTCCACTTTAAAACAACTCAATAGCAGCTTAAACTTAAGTTTTCCTTGGGAAACAAGTGGCATTTTCAGAGAATTGAAGGAAACCAGGGCCAAGATAATGGGTTTTCTATTTGCTTTTCAAACAATTATAGTCTACAATGAAAGCTTTTTTTTTCCTTGTTGTTTTTGGTATCCTCAAGGAGATAGTGTGGCTTTAGTTTGGTTGAATAGGCAAAGAAAGTTTCTGCCTCGTACTCCCTTATGCCCAACCTCATTCATAAGATGATGCTATGGTTAGTAGATAGGTTCTGAGTCATGCTGACTTAGATTCTGATTGAATCTCCATTTGCAAAATAAGTACAATCATTTTGAACGTACACTGTTCATCAGACTTGAGTAATAGATGATCTATGGAATGCCTAGATTAGCCAAGTGGGCGCTGTTACCAGTTACAAAGGATTCAGAAAGTGTCTAAACCTCTCCTAGTGTGTGGCCTTTTTTAAAATGAAAGGGTAAAGTGATCAGCTCTCACTTACTCTCCACCAACTCTGACCATGTCCCAACTGACCAAAGAACTGTAGTTGCTCCTCTGTGTAGACTGAGCATTCTCTGCACCCCTGCATAGACCCCCATTCTCTGCACCCCTGCACAGTCCCCCATTCTCTGCACCCCTGCACAGTCCCCCATTCTCTGCACCCCTGCAGGTCCCCATTCTCTGCACCCCTGCAGTTCCCCCTTTGTCACCACTGAAGACTCAGCATTTTCTCTCTTCTTTCCCTTGTCAACCATTCAGATATTAATTAAAACATCATCACTTCCTCCCAAACTGTCTGCAGCATCCTTGTCACTCATTTGGGGATGCTTGGTTGTTTGTGCTGGATGTAAGAAAGGTTAAAGGTTAAAGATGATATTTTCTATCTCAAAGAGAAAAGTAAAATGGGCAAAGAATGTCATATTTCAAACATCTAAGTCAGAGACCTCAGTACTGGATCATAAATTTGTGGTTTGAGTTAAGGAATTGTACTCCAAAACAGAATTCTAAACTAATTTGTATTCCTAAACAAATTTTCATAATTTCACTTTGAATTTCCCATGTTTTCTACATTATGGAGTAAATGGTTTTAGGCTAGCTATGATCAGATTATGTCTGTTTTATGCATAGGATCAAAATATGTAGAAAATATTCACATCTATTATTTTTAAGTGGATATTGTTTGGGATGGAGAAACTTAAAGTGAAATATATATTTCAAGTCCACTTAAAAATACATTCAATGTCTGTAGTATGACTACAAATCACAAACATAAGACATAGCATACAACTGAGTAACTTTAATAAGCATTTGCTTTGGATATTGTCGTAAAAGCAACTTAAGTGTAAGCATCTCAGAGTCTATCGAATTGCAGTATAGATTTATTAAATCATAAAAAAAGCCACATACCTTATGCACTTCTCGTCTGCATCTAAAAGCAAAGTTGAAGTGTGAAATGAATACTAGGAAAGGCAGGTCTGCTTCTATGAAGGTGTTTATGCCATTATACAATGTGGAGTAAAGTGGATACAAGAAGAAATTGTCTTTTTCATTTTTATAAGTCACCGATCCCAAAAGAAAAATTCCTCAGAGTCATCATGTTTATTCATTAATAAATATTTTGCTGAAATGGAAAATATCTTAAAGAAATTATATGATTATGTTTCAGAATGGTATGCAGCTTGAATAACTAAATATAAACAAAAGAGAGTTCAGATGGGATGTCTCTAGTAAATCTTTTCCCTCAGAACTCAGGGAGCTCCAAGGAAGAGGAGGCAAAAATCCCGTAAGAGCCAGAGGGGATGGAGGACCCCAGGAGAACAGGGCCCTCTGCATCAGCTAAGGGAGCCTCTTATGAACTCAGAAGCTGGGGCAGCAAGCAGAGTGCCTACATGATTCTGCATCAGGTTCTCTTTGTATCTGTGAGAGCCTTTTGCTTGGTGTGTGAGAAAGGGTAGGTCTCTGATTCTTGTGTCTGCTCTCTAGACTCTTTTCCTCCTGTTGGGTTGCCTTGTCCAACTTTGATATGATCATTTTTGCTTGATCTTACTATATTTTATGTTGTCATGTTTGGTTGTCATCTCTTAGAGGCGTGTTCTATTCTAATGAGAAAAAGAAAGGGAGTGGGTCAGAGGGGAGAGGAGCGAGTGGGGAGGAAGGGAGGGGAAGAACTGGGAGGAGAGAAGGAAGGGGAAGGCCTAATCAGGATGTATTGTACGAGAAAAGAGTCTATTTTCAATAAAAGGAAAAAGGAAAAAAAAGACTGAGGGAAAATTTCCTTTACTTTATTTTTATTAACTCGGGGAATTTCAAACGACACTTCTTGATTATGCTCGTCCACTCCTTCTCTGTTTCCTCCAGGTCCACTCCCTCCCCTCCTTTTATTTCATGAGGCTTCTTTGCTCCCCGCCCTCCCTCTGGCTCTTACAATTTCCCCACTCCCTCTTCTGCTTAGATGGAAATGTCATCATAAATAATGAAGGGGCTGAGTTCTGCAAATGTCCCCATAACTGGAGCTCTATCAGGAAGCGGCCGCAGTGAAATAATCTACATCAGTGCATAAACACACTCAGAAAGAGGCTGCCATTTGCCCCGTATCTTCCTTCTGACATTTGCTTTGTCGCGCAAACGTGGACTTAGCCACTTCCCTGCTGCATTTAGCTGTCTGGTTTTACATGGACAACAGAGATTCGGTCTAGATATAGCACAAGTACATTACAGAAAGAAAAGTGTAGGAAGGCAGATTCTTGAAGCCTGAAGAACAAATCGTAAGATAATTTAAATGACATTGGATTCATCTTTATCTTTAAGTCTTACTCTTCAAATAAGACCACATTTTTTTCCTTTCTCTGATGTATATAATACTGATAACTAATCTGAGGGATGAGCATGGTGAGTTCTACAGTGATATTATTGTGATATCAGAATCCTCACAAATATCAGAACAGTAAGGGCATTCAGCACATGGCTTTTTGGAACAGGTATTAACTTACAAAGACAGAAAGATCAGAAGAAGGAAGGATGGAAGGTGGGAGGGAGGGAGGGAGGGAGGGAGGGAGGGAGGGAGGGAGGGGAGAAAGAAAGAAACTTCAGAATGCTTGGACACATGAATTTGCCTTTGTATTCCAGAGGTAACACCACTGGGATGTTTTTTTTCTTTCTTATTAATTTTAATATTTAATTATTTTTCCTTTTTATTGAGAACTTTTTAAATACAATCTTTTCTCATTTTTATAGCTATCCCCATTCCCACTCCCTTTTCTTCTCCCATCCACTCCTCAGAAACAGTAAGGCTTCCCATGGAGAATCAACAAAGTCTGACTCTTCACTTCTAGGCAAGACCAAGGCCCTTCCTGCTCCAGCCCCCACACCTAGGCTGAGCAAGGTATCCCTCCAAAAAGAACATGCCCTTAGATGCCAGTTCAAACACTAGGGATAAATCCTGGTCCTACTGCCAGTGACCCCACAGACTGTCTGAGTCTCACAACTGGCACCCACATTCAGAGAGCCTAGTTTGGGCCTATGCAGGTTCCCCTGCTATCAGTCTACAGTCAGTGAGCAATCACTAGCTCAGGTCAGCTGTTTCTGTGGGTATCACTATCATGGTCTTGACCCCTTTGCTCATATTACTGCTCCTCTCTCTCTCTCTCGTCAGAAAAGAAAGCACTTGGGGGCAAATCAGCACAGAGGGTACCCAGGCTGGTTTCTGCGAAGAAGTGGACTGCCCAGAATGGAGACGGTAGCATGGGGGGCTTCCTTAGCATCATGTTCAAGTAGAGAGTTCAGTGGGACCACGAAGAGGGGGAAACCTCAACTACTGGCTGCTTGCCAGAACAGTGTCAACACGAAACAGACCTTGGTAGGAAGCT